AAAACCCTTGGCCAGGCACGGTGGCTCACGCCTGTAATCCCAACACTTTGGGAGGCCAAGACGGGCGGATCATAAGGTCAGGAGATCAGGACCACCCTGGCTAACCTGGTGAAACCTTGTCTCTACTAAAAATACAAAAATTAGCCGGGCGCGGTGGCGGGCGCCTGTAGTACCAGCTACTTGGGAGGCTGAGGCAGGAGAATGGCGTGAACCCGGGAGGCGGAGCTTGCAGTGAGTGGAGATCGCACCACTGCACTCCAGCCTGGGCGACAGAGTGAGACTCTGTCTCAAAAAAAAAAAAAGAAATAGAAAAACCCATCCTAAAATTTACATGGAATCTCAAGGGACCCTGAATAGCCAAAACAGTCCTTCTAAAGGAGACCAAAGCTAGAGGACTCGTGCTTCCTGATTTCAAAACTTACTATAAAGCTGTACTAAACAGTGTGGTACTGGCATAAACACAGACATATAAACCAATGGAAATACAATAGAGGCCCCAGAAACATACCCTAACATATATGGTCAAATGATTTTTTTTTTAAGAAATGGGGTCTTGCTGTATTGCCCAGGCTGGATTCAGGGTCCTGGGAGGATCAAATAATCTTCCTGCCTCAGACTCATGCACCTCTCTTGTGGTCAAATGATTTTTGACAAGGATACTAAGACTACTTGATACGAAAAGGACAGTCTTTTCAAATGATGATGCTAAGTTGCCTGTGTTGCAGGAAGACAGATCAGGCGCCTGGGGCATATTGGCAATTTGGGTGCTGGTTTCTGAGGGAAAATATAAATCCATAGTGCATTTTTCATCTAAGCTTCCTCCTGATGGCGTTCCAAAGCAAGTGTTCCTCTCCACCTACTTTTTTCTTTTTTTGGTTTTTGAGACAGGATCTTGCTCTGTCTCCCAGGCTGGAGTGCATTGGCATGATCATGGCTCACTGCAGCCTTGACCTCCTGGGCTCAAGCAATCCTCCCACCTCAGCCTCCCATGTAGGTGGGACCACAGGCGAATGCCACCACACCCAGCTAATTTTTTTGGTTTTTATTTTTTAAAGAGATGGGATCTCACTGTGTTGCCCAGGCTGGTCTTGAACTCCTGGGCTCAGGTGATCTTCCTGCCTTGGCCTCCTAAAGTGCTGGGATTACAGGCATGAGCCATCGCACCTGGCCTTCTACCCGCTTTCAAGATCTATTTAGATGAGACATATGTCTGACTGAATGGACTAGGGGAAGGCGCAGTTCACAGATTGCTGTGTAAGATTCAGAGATTTGCACGTTCACTGGTATGTTCATGGTGCATTGGTTAGGGAGAAAATGAAGCTTCACTCTGATGCCGTACTCTCGAAGTGTCATTCTTATTTTGTTGTTTTGTTTTTTTCTTTTTCTGTTTTTAAAGATGATTCTCCTTTCTACTCCCCCAGAAACATCCAGCTACCTCTTCTAAGAACTAGAAATTTGAGTGTTCTCATAGCCAGCCAGAAGTCAGTGACAGCCTTCAACTCTTGTTGTAAATAGAAACATAACCGTGTCCTGCATGTGCTTCAGAGGCCGTCTCTGCAGTGCCGTCCTCCACAGACAAGGCCCATGCGGGGCTTCTGAGTCAGCAGTCAGCTGCCGTGGACAAAACATGCAGGCTGGAGTCAGCTGGCAGAGACTCACAGATGCCTGGAAACCTGGCATCACCTCCTCTTCCTCCCCGCAACCCCCCTGCCCGGCTCCGCACTTCCTCTACCCCTTCCTTGCACACCTTGGCTTTTCAATTTCTGGGATTTCTGGCACCTTCCTGCCAGGTTTCCTGGTCAACAGGTTCCTGTGATTATGAACTGTACACAGGGTGGTGCAGGACAGGCCAGGAGGAGCATGATCTGGCTTTGACCTTCAGGAATGAGGGAAATGGGGGCGGTAACAGGAATAGCCCTGCTCCGCCGTGCTTCCCGGCTGTTGTCAGAGCCAGTGAGAATGCTGGGTAAGCCCCTTGCAGAGTGAGACAGGCCCAGCCCAGCAGAGCCACAGAGCAATGCTGTCACACTCTGGAGGAGTCTTTGCGCTGCAGTCATTCAGCCGCAAAGCAGGAAAAGTGAGGCAGCCCAAGGGAATTCATCTTGTGTTGTCTTACCTTGAGTGCCGGTCGCATTGTTCCAGGAGCCAGCCTGCCTCTGTTCATCTGTTGTCCCCAGTGCCCTGCAGGTCGAAATCTCTTCGGCCAGAGACTTAATACTTGCCTGCTGGTTGGCTCTGCAGCTCTCTGGGGGCTCTGGCTGACATCTGTTAATTTAAGTGTTTTTCACTAGCAGAAGGATTGGGGACAGTTATTAGTGAAGGCATTCCTCTGTAGTGGGGTTTGATTTGAAAGTTCTTTATGGTGGTTAGCAGCTCTTCGGAAGTGAATTATTTCAAACCGAGTGGGTTACAGCTAACCAAGGGGTTGTTAGCTCACACGGAAGAACTCTTCTTGGGAAATAAGTGCCCAAGACCCTCTTTCAAGGGAGGTGTAAGCCAAGGCAGGCGCTATGACAGGAAGGGTTTTGGAATTACGGGTTGCAGGATCTTTAATGTCTTGACTTCAGCAAGAATGTCGTGGTTCTGAGCGCTCTGAATCCTGGCAAGGAGTCGAAAGTGGCTACTGTTTAGGAACAAAGAAAAGTCATTTTCTTCTTTGACATGAGGTAGCGGTGGATGAGACCCAGTGTATGCAAAGCTTACCAAACACTGTGACTCTGGTGTTTAGGTTGACTGAAGGCAGGCAGAGCATACAGACAGGGTCCGGATTGTGCTGTGCCGTGCCGTGTGCTTCTCAAAGAGCAGGTGAAGCCTCCAAAGTCCCCACAAAGAGGTCAGGAGGCAAAGAGGGCCCCTGATGTAGAAAATGCTGCGGGACCTTTGTTTCTAGTCATGGGCTATCAGCTGTCACCGTTTCTCCTGCCTTCGCATAAGCACATCTGCTCTTTCCTGCCCTACAAGCCATCTTTTGACTTTCTGGCATTTCTAAGATAAGCCTTGACTTGTAAGAGAAACAATGGGCCCTTTTTAGGAACTGTAAAGTACTTCTCTTTCTGCTACCTAGAATAAAACCTTTCTTTTTGGGGGAAACTGAATGTTAATTCTAGTTAGCTCCATTTCTTGCTGGCCTCCTAGCCATGTGGCTATTGGGAGAAGCTATATGTGTTAACAGTGTATTGTTTTTTCTGGATTTGTTTTGTTTTGTTTTGTTTTTGAGACAGGGTCTTATGCTGTCGCTGAGGCTGGAGTGCAGTGGCACAATCTCAGCTCACTGCAACCTCTGCCTCCCGAATTCAAGCAATTCTCATGCCTCAGCCTCCTGAGTAGCTGGGATTACAGGCGTGTACCACCCTGCCTTGCTAATTTTTGTATTTTTTGGTAGGGATAGGATTTCATCATGTTGGCCAGGCTGGTCTTGAACTCCTGACCTCAAGTGATTCACCCACCTTGGCCTCCCAAAGTGCTGGGATTACAAGCATAAGCCACCGCACTGGGCCAACGGTGTAGTTTTTAATATCTAGAGCCAAGAGCAGTTGTTGAGTACGTGACATATTTGAAGCGAAAAGCTGAGCCAGTGTGTTCTGTCTGCAGCGTATCCTCCACATTATGTGATGAGTGTTGTGTCTGTTGACATAGAAAACATAAGGCGGAGAGGGCAGTTCCTTGTATTTAGTTATGACTTTCTCTCATGAAACTTAAGATGCATCTCATTTGGTTTGGTTTAATCCCATGATACCATGGTGAGGTGCAGAGAGAAGTGGCATGTCATTTCTACTTCACACTGCTGCTCAGTGTCTTACCCAAAGTGACAGCTTCAGGGCCTCTCCTGTGTCATTCTGGAACATGGCGCCTGTCTTCCGAGAGTTGGTTTCAGCAGCACCTGCAGCTGAATAGTGGGCAGTTTCTTGCTTCTACATGCCTCCTGAACACAGTGCATCAACCACTCCCTTCCTCTGTCTGCGCCCAACCCCAAGGGTACATCTTCAGAGCAAAGTCCAGTCCAGTTGTGTTGGTCAGCCTCGTGGTAAATGGGTGATGTGCCTGTGCTGGACTGTTGTGATGTGAGCACCAGGAGCAAGTGCTGTGGGCATGTGGATTTCTCAGCAGGAGCCTTGGAGAACTTCGGAAGTGAAGAGTCTTAGGGGTGCTGTCTAACCTACTTGCCTTACACACAGGGAAACCAAGGGTTGGTGTGACAGTGCTCACCCCGGGTTTTGAGCGGGGTCATGCCGCTGGGGTCTGGCTGTGTGGGCTCAGCCCTGTGGTCACGCCTGCCTCGCCACCCTGACCCACTCTCCACTCTCTAGTTTTGTCCTTTGTCCTTTTGCCTCCCAGTACAGTTCCAGTGGCGAGGATTCACCAGATGTGACGCCAAAACGATTCCGCAGACTCACAGGAGCCGGTGGGTGCAGGTGGGGAAGGTGGCTCGCTGTTCCACCGGCACCAAGGAGTGCTTCTATTTTTAATCCATTGGCCTGATGTCTCCGTTTAATCTGGGGCCTAAGCTGGAAACCTGGGAGTCACCCTTGCCTCTTTGATCCCTATGAGTCACTCAGGCCTGCCTGTGTCACTTTCCCATGTCCTGCACCTCTTCCCTGCCTGGCTAACATTTATGCTGAGAGACTCAGCTGTCACCTCTCAGAGGCTCACCGTCAGTGGGGACCCCGCTTCACCACCAATAGTGACTTAGATCCTCTTTCTCTGTTTCCCAGCTCCCCTTGTGTCTCCCTCTTTAGTGGCACTTGGTACGGTCCATCAAGGCATTCTGTGTCTGTGTCTGCCTCATCTCCTAGACTATCAGATCCTTGAGAGCAAGAACCATCCTGCTCACCTTTCCAGCCCCAGTGTCTCGTAGTGCCTGGAGTGTTGCAGGTGTGCAGTCCATACTTGTGGATGGATGACTGCGACACTTGAGAACTCTGCTTTGAAGAGGAGTATGTCTCCTGGAGAATGTTTGTAGACAGAGAAATACTAACCGTCTTTTTCTTTCTTTTTGTCAGATTAACGTGCCAGTGTCAGGTGGACCCACAGCCATCCCACCGCCCCCTCTGGGAGTGCTGAGAGTGAGGCAGCATGGAGGAGAGGAAGCATGAGACCATGAACCCAGCTCATGTCCTCTTTGACCGGTTTGTCCAGGCCACCACCTGCAAGGGAACCCTCAAGGCCTTCCAGGAGCTCTGTGACCACCTGGAACTGAAGCCAAAGGACTACCGCTCCTTCTATCACAAGCTCAAGTCCAAGCTTAACTACTGGAAAGCCAAAGCCCTCTGGGCGAAGTTGGACAAACGGGGCAGTCACAAAGACTACAAAAAGGGAAAAGCATGCACCAACACCAAGGTAAGCTTTGATCCTGTTGGGCCCTGGGGTCACTGACATGAGGATTCATCCAGATGCCAAAGAGGAGGATTGAGTTAGAGGTAGGCTGAGTGAGAACCAGGCAAAGTCTAGCCACAACCTAGCACAGGAAATCAAGCCTTGACCTGTTGAAACTTTGTGGATCTCTTACCTCTTTTTGTTTGACTTGCATGACCCAGACCCTATTTTAAGCGTATTTCATGTATTTACATACTGAACGTTCAGAGTTTCAAGTATTTAAGAACAACCAAAGTCAAGTGGCATGGGAACTTTTTATTTTGCCAAAGCTCTCTTTTGAACCTCACGTGGTTCGGAGGATGCAGGTCACTTAGCAGGGACGTAGCCAAGCCCTACTGGTATCCTGTCTGAACACGGCTTTGGGGTTCTTGGCATGTCCTCTTTCCAAAGTCATCGTTCCATACTCAGTAACTGGTAAGGTATGCTATTTGCCAGCTTGGGATTTGCCACAAGCTTCCAGCCTCTTCCCATCCATGTTCCAAAGGTCTGTTTTGATTCATAAGCAGGGACTTTGTGAACCAAAGTATTTCTGTTGCTTTCTTCACCACGTGGAGAAATAGGTAGGCCCTATTTCTCGAAGCAGGTAGGCCCAGGCAAAGACCTGAGTTATGCACTTGCCTTTGTTGGGGTAGCTGCAAGGAAGCGGCTATGGAGAGATACATTTCCTACTTCCCTCCTTAGAAGAACACCTAATGTGAGAAGTTTGGAACAAGCTAGCAGGGACACAAATTTGCAGATGACTTCATGGCTATGTTATGTTCTTTCACGAGCTTTAATTTGTGCAATAGGGGTTACCTAGAGCCCCACCCCCAGTGGATTTGCATTGGAGTAGATATTCATCAGCAAAATTCAAGAACTGTGAAGGTGTGACATTCATGAGTGAGTACTGGACTCTACTAAGAGAAAAACAAAGCCAAAAGCATTGCACGTTTTCCTTCTGCACACACAGAGCAAACTACTTAAGATATGTGTCCAGTCTCCTGCTGAGTACTTCTCTGGAGTGTGGATTTTCAAGATCGTATTCCTGGACTTTCAGTCTAGAAATGGGGATTTTGGAACTCTTTTCAGCACATAAAACTTTGTCTTGAAAATTGCTTCCTGGGAATCATGTGTGTGGTAGATTCATTCCAGCAGGCTTGAGATTGTGTACATAGGACTCTGTAACTCTTTGGACAGAAATCTGCCTGACCTAGAAACCTTCCAAACGGTCCTCTCCTGTTGATGTAAGATTGCATTTGATTTTCATATCGTTTGTTGAGATGATGGCCACTTAAATATGCTGCAGATCAAGGGCCTTCCAGGCTGTCCAAGGTGAACAGGTGCCGGGCTTGTGTCTAGCACTGATGGTTCTGTCTTCTCCATTCATGGTGATCACTAGCTCTTCTCTTCAGCCATGGCAGGTGTTCTGCTGTGACCCACATAGGTGTGAAGGTTTCTTGGCAGTGGGGAGAATAGCCCTATTTCAGGGCTTTAGGGAGTGATGATCATACGATCATGAGACTTCTTTAGAATTGTTTGTTGGAAGTGCTGCCTGCCCTGAAAGCAGCTGTGTTTTTCAGTGTCTCATCATTGGGGCTGGCCCCTGTGGTCTCCGTACAGCCATCGACTTATCCTTACTGGGGGCCAAGGTGGTTGTTATTGAGAAACGAGATGCCTTCTCCCGCAACAACGTCTTGCATCTCTGGCCATTCACCATACATGATCTACGAGGTCTGGGTGCCAAGAAGTTCTATGGCAAGTTCTGTGCCGGAGCCATCGACCATATCAGTAAGTAAAACTAGCTTTCCTGTAAGGTTCCACCCTACCCCTCGCACACGTGTTCATTAGAAAGAGATGGGTGGATTAGCTGAGGAATTCATATGCCGCCAAATTTCTTCTAATCTCATTGCTGTCTTTCTTGTAGTAAGTGCACTCATCTTGAAGTAAAAACACCTGCTATGCAGTGGTTCTGTAATTTAGGACTCTTAAATGTGAGCATATCGGTAACCTATGAAATTGTGGGGTTTGACCTGAGGATTTCTAAGTTAGGTCTTGGACTCTTACTGAGCTCTTGCAGTTTGCGGGATGGGCACTGGGGCCAGGCACTGGGGAAACGATGACCAGTTTGGGCCCAGACCCTCTGGTGGTCCTTCTTGCAGTGGCAGAAGTACACAGGCGTGCAGCTGTCTGTGCTGTGACCTGATACGTGCTCTACTAATATAAGAACAAAGTGCTGTGGGGACAGAGTCCTGGGGAAAGCCACGCTTGCAGAAGGAGCAGAGCCCTGGCCGGGCCGCTAATGGCAAGGGGATAATGGCATCCCTCTGGTTAGGTGGTTCTTGTGTGGTCTGCAAGCCCTTGTTGTACTTTTCTCACCTCCAAGCTCAGCCCGGGGCTGTGCTTTTCTGAGATCCTACAGGGTATGAATACAAGTTAATGCAATCAGCGGTGTTTGACTGTAAGTGGCCAGAAAAGCAATTCAGAACAGACAGTGTGCGTTATGAAACTGAAGGCTTTTTATTGATTATCATTAATGCTTTCAGGAAAGCTTTATCAAGGAGCCTTTGTTCTGAGCTTCTCCAGATGTGTCCTGTAAACACATTCAGTCATGGAACCTTTTGCTGTTTGCATCAGCTGTGCCAATTTATCAGACGCTGGCTGGCAGTCACCACATTCCACTGGCAGAGGAAGCGCTGTGCCCATCTGTTGGCTGTAGTTTATAAAGCATCTTGGAACCCACAGTTCTCTGCGAAAATACTATGCTAGTGCAGAGTTTAACAAGTCTTTGGGAGTGGAACTCAGAAGGGTGGTGGCTGTGGTAAACTGGGGAGAACAACCAAGATGACGTGAGGAGGGTTTGCATTGCTCCTGGCACATTAGACCCAGTTAAGTTTGGTCTTAAGAGAGGACCAAGGGTCATTAACTCAGTGGATTTGTCTGCCTTATTTGTGGCAAGATTCATCTTAGGGTTGAGAGGGTCTTCTACCAGGGCCTAGATCTTTATCTCTACACCTTAAGTCCCTGCCATGTCTGGTGCCTACAGGTGCTCATGGACGTTGAATAAATCAATCAGTCTCACTATGAAAATAAGCAGGATTGTCAGTCATTCTGGCCTCAGTTTCCACAGCTGTAGACCAGGAGTGGCAGGGGGAATGGGAGAAGGATCTGGTTGGATTATGATTTCCCTTCTTGCCTTGTAAGGATGTGTGATGATCAACCAGGGAATGGGCTGAAAGAGACGCCCATGGGCAGGGAGGTCATGCAGCAGCTCTGCATCTGACTGTGGGCTGTACCCTGTGGGTGCACCTCTGCCTCCTGACCTAGCAGGATCAGAGATGCCACCAATATGGCAGCCCCGAATTGGAAAGATGGAAAGGGATCTCCTGTAGGCCACAATCCCGTGTTGTCTCCAAGCTTTTGGTTGTTTAGAACACTGAACCCAAGAGGTAGGAGTGTCCTGTGTGTTGCTCTAGAACATCTTTTCCACTGGGTTATATTTGCCTTAAAGAAAGGAAGAAGTTACGGAGTGTGGCTTCGGAATGTCTCCTGCTACAGCAGGCTTTGGGAATCTGAATGAAGGGAGCGTGGGTGGTGGGGTGGGAGCCTGAGCCGTGACACAGATGGATACCCTCTTCTCCATGTGTTCCCACCAACACCATCTCTGTTTTCTCCCAGGTATCCGTCAGCTCCAACTAATACTTTTGAAAGTAGCCTTGATCCTAGGCATTGAAATCCATGTCAATGTGGAATTCCAAGGACTTATACAACCTCCTGAGGACCAAGAGAATGAACGTAAGTTATACTGGAGGAGTGAAGAAGGCGTGAGAGGGTGTTGATGGATGAGGAAGATGAGATTGAGGGAGCAAACCAAAGGCCCCTGAGGGCTGCTTCCAGAGCTAGCCAAAGCCTGTGCCTGTGGGGACGTGGCCTGGATGCAGCCTTCGATGTCGCAGGTGCACATGTGGTGGGAAGGGCTTCGTGGGCCCTCTGCAAGGCTTCTTTCCTTCTGTAGTTTGTCCCCACTGCTTTTTCTTTTTTAGACGAGAGTCTCACTCTGTCACCCAGCCTGGAGTGCGGTAGCTCAGTCTTGGCTCACTGTGACCTCTGAGCAGTTCTCCTGCGTAGGTCTCCAGAGTAGCTGGGGTTACAGGCGCGCGCCACCACGCCTGGCTAATTTTGGTATATTTAGTAGAGACAGGGTTTCACCATGCTGGCCAGGGTGGTCTTGAACTCCTGGCCTCAAGTAGTCTGCCAGCCTCTGCCTCCCTAAGTGCTGGGATTAGAGGCGTGAGCCACCGCGGCCAGCCTCTGTCTCCACTGCTTCTACACATAGTGTTTTTGGCCCAGGGTTTTGTGCAGTTCACATGACTGGGTATCTAGAGATGGTCCTGGCTGTGAATGTGGTCTGGGTGGTGACCCCCATTTATTTGGTTTTGGTCCACAGGGATAGGCTGGCGGGCACTGGTGCACCCCAAGACTCATCCTGTGTCAGAGTATGAATTTGAAGTGATCATCGGTGGGGATGGTCGGAGGAACACCTTGGAAGGTATTGGTCTGTGCTCCTCTGCCTGACTCATAGCAGAGGGGAAAGCGGATGCTGTCCTACCCCTGGGGTGAGACTGTGTGTGACCAGGGTCCTCTCTTTTGAGAGCCTGAATGTGTGCTTCCTGCCCTGATGGAATGGCAGGTCCTGCCTTCCTCTAGCCAGCTGGCACTCGGGCCGCTGCTTTTATTTTATTTAATTATTTCATTTTTGAGACAGGGTCTCGTTCTTTTGCCCAGGCTGGAGTGCAATAGTATGAGCACGTTCACTGCAGCCTCGATCTGCCTGGTCTCAAGCGATCCTCCCATCTCAGCCTCCTGAGTAGGTGGGACTACAGGCGCGTGCCACCATATCCAGCTAATTTTTATGTTTTTTGTAGAGATTGGGTTTTCGCCATGTTGCCTAAGCTGGTCT